TTAATACAAATTAACCTCAAAATTTAGAACATTGTCCTTAAGGTACATAATTGATATTTACTTACGTTAAAATGATCCTCGCAACAAAAAAATGTTGATTTTGATTTAGGAACATCTCGCCTGGCTGCTTTAAACCATTTAACTTTGCGTGAAGAATTCTGCGGTACACTTATAAATGTTTTATTAGGGGCACTTATTGAAGTATTTTTACATCCGGGCACAAAACACCACTTATTTTGTGATTCGTACATGTCTTACTTTTTGTATTATATAATTATTATTAAAAAAAAGTAAATAAACTTGGCAAAATCTCAATAAAAACAGGAGTAAATAAAATAACCTCAACAGGTACTTGTACTTAGCTGCTTTGTTGATATGAGTTCCTACGTCACAATAGTCTAGGCAACCAGTCGTACTCGATTAGGCATTTTTCGCGCCAAATATTTTACTTATATTTATATTTGTTTTAAAATTATTATAGCGATTTTTTTAAACAAAAAAAGTTTTCATTAGTTATATTTGGCTTAAGTACTTTCTATTTTTCAAGTAAAAAAAAAATGTGAAAATACCCTATTACAAGATATCTTATTTTCTTAATAAAAAACATTCTTTCCTTCTTTTAATAGTATCTCGCTTATTGTTAGAGATGGACCCAACAAACCCTATATGACTATACTCGACATGGTACGTTCTATCCAAATATGTAAAAATATATAGGGTGCTCCATTTAAATTAACAAAGTTAACATCCGTGGCCATTTTGTTTGGACTTAATTTGTTTTTCAAATGTCATTTTTGAGAACTTCATAAAAAATCGTGCAACTTTTGTATTTCACATTTTTTTATAACTCTTAAAACAAAAAAGTTAAACGGGGGGGTCAAAATATAGTGAATCACCCTGTACACTTGTGTAATGATTAATAAGTATATACTTTAGATTTCAAAATTTATATTTTATTTGTTTACTTTTTCGTATTCTTTTACATTTTCTATGACGTGGATGAGAAGATGAGCATAAAAACAGGACTCCGCTTCTGCGGGTTGATTTAAATATTTATTCTTTTTTACAGGTGGCAAAATATCCAAATAAGTAGAGAGAAAAAAATATAAGATGATAGTAATAATTACCTGGTAATTTCTTCCTCGTGTCTGCTAATTTCAATATCAATCCATCAACTGCTGTATTAGATGGGGCTGATAATAAAATCAATGGAGGTTCTTTGGTATTATCTTTTATACTGCGTAATATAATTTGTAAAACAATATTAACTACAACAGTCGACTTGCCAGTACCTGGAGGGCCCTTAATTAAATACAATTTTGGAATGTTTCCTAAACATAAACTGCTCGCTTCTAATACAATTTCTTTTTGTTCTTTATTTAAATTGACCTAAAAATATTAACAGTTTAAAAAATTTAAACTATACTGTGTCCCAAAGACAGAAAAACTTTTATTATTCGTAAATTTATGAGAAAATATAATTCTTTATAGAATTTCTTGTTTGTTCAGAAACTACTATTTTTTACGTTCCTAATTTTATACAGTTTTAATCTATGAGAATTTGTGTGCAGATAGGACAATGAAAAATATAATGGTAATTTGTCATATTGCCACAGCAATCAACATTTAATCGTCTACGAATTCAAAATTTTACATCTGTGACACTGCTATGCAAACCGAAACATACAGACCTTCAAATAATGCCATTTTTCTCAAGAATGGTTTCCTGTAGGTGATTTTCTCAAGAGACAATTTTCTTATTAAATAAAACGACCTTTTGCTGCCCGTTAAAAAAAATACGACCACTGTAAAAGTTTTGACCGCTAAAATGGAGAGGTAACTGGAGAAAACTATAACCCAGTATATCGATTTGACTAAAGCTTTAAGGAATAATATGCCATAATAGCCAAAATAAATGTAACAAATTTTAACGCGATCGGTAAAAGGGTTATGGAGTTAATTAAATTAGTTTTATTTTTTACAACTTTGAAGGCTTGTAACTCAAAAACCAAAAATGTTTTATTTAATTTTTTTTCACAGATCTTATTTATTTATCATCGTGAATATGCAGTCAAACATTATCGGTGAAATTTAAGGATATCCTGTATAATCAATTATTATTTTGCACAGCACCGTACTATTTTTTTTTATATAAAATAGTCAAATGAGTTTCCCATATCTCTGCCACTGGCTGTGCAAAAATCTTGATATTACAGTATTTTATGAAAGCTTGACCCAATATAACGTACAGTCGTACACCATATTTAGTTCAAATACCTCTAAATTATAAATTCTGAAATCCTGCTTAAAGTATTGTAATATTATAATGCTGGATATTTCTTAAAAGAGAACACCCTGTAAGTATAGAAAAAAAACAATTTCCAATTTATAGTACCAAGCAGTTTCGGGGCAAACAAGAAATTTTATAAAGAATAACATTTTCCTACGAATTTGCAAATAAACAGATTGTCTCTTTGGAACACACTGTGGGCACACTTATATAAGATGTACATTAATCGGATCCTGCCATGGAGACCTGCTATTGTAAGAAATATAATTTCAAAACAATTAAAGCAATGTTTCAACAAATAATGCTCTGGAAAGAAATCTGATCTCTTTTTCTTAATTAAAAACTGAAATATTTCTATTTTAATTATTTTTAAATAAAAACCAAAAAAGTCTATGTATATGTAACCGATACTCTGTATTTCTGCTACTGGAGCTTCTAAATTTTAAGAAAAGTCTTCAGATTTTGGACAATGTTTACATAAGTACATGTGCCCAATTTCAAATTATTTCACTTACCAGTTTTTAAATTATTTGAAAAAATTAAAAATATTTTTTGTTTAATGCCCTGTATCTTTTTAACTATAAAAACTTTTTAGGAAAGACCGCTTAAAATTGACCAAAGAATACGAGGTTTCATTTTTGGTCACCATTTTTGGTCTATCATCCTGTATATCAAACTATATAATGTTGGAACTTAAAGAAACGTGAATATTTTGGAAGAAATAAAAAACAGCTATCGTATCTATCAGTTGACTGTGAAAAAAAATATTTTTCAACTATACACTGTATCTCCAGATGGGGTACCGCTGTCCACGAACGCGGTGGTTTCGGACCCGTTTGGAGGATTGTGACGTGGTTGGGGGTATCCCTAAGAATCCCCAGAACACGCTGGATGCGTGCAGAAAGCGTTTCTGCACGGCCGCGGCTGCTTCTGCGGATGTCGGGTTCGACTCGCGTTGTGGAACGATAGGTGTAGGGTTCCCCGTAATTAATAAGTAAAGGGGAACTTGTTACGAATTCTTTTTTCCCTATTTTGTGGACTGGCAGACCAGGCCGTACCACAAGCTGAGGGGAACAGCCTTAATATACCCCGAAGGGTCGCTGATACTCAGTACTACTACTATTTAAAAAAA